TACAAAAAAATATCTCAACTACCAACAAAAATACAATTTCCCAACATAGAACTTTAGCTTATTTAAATTTGTTACAAGTTTTTTTTTTTTTTTTTTTTTAATTAAATTTTATTAGTGGTATTTTATAAATTCAAATGGTAAAATCAGGTCATTATATAAGTAGTACGTGCTAGTTTTGGGTCAAGTGGGGTTTGACAAACCATTTAATTCAAATTTTTGGGTTTAGATATTTTCAAGTTCGACTTCCTAATTTTGTGTTTAGTCTCTATAACATTGTTCATTTTCGTCGTATTACCTAATTTTAATTCACATGTATATTTCAATAATATTATTATTCTTCGAGATATATTGTGTAATAGCTGAGATAAAATCTAGTAGAACAATATTTGAAGAATGATGACGGATATAATACTTTGTAGCAAGATCTTTGTGACTTTTTAAAGCAAAAGGCAAAGAAGCCTCGCTTTTCAAAGCAATTGGCAAAGAAGCCTTACACGTATGTAGCAGCATTAGTAGTATTAGTGTAAACTAATACAAAAAATATCAAGAGAAAACTGAATTTTATATTTTATTTCTTACTCGTATATAAAAACATGACAAATTGACTACTTATCAACGAAGGGTATGCATGGATAATTGTCATAATAATGACACGGAAAACTTTACAGAAAAATATTCCAGGATTGACAGTCTTAAACCAATAATAGTAAACCCTAAAAAAAATAGTAAACGCATACTCCTCCAAATTAAAGAAATACCAAGAAACCCCGATTTTATCGGCTAGTATCTAATATTGTGCATATAACTTCCTCTAAAACAAAAATAGATATAGTCATATATCAGATTATCAGTTCATCTTTTCTGAAATTAAGAAAAAAAAAAAAAAAAAAACCCAAATTCCTACGTATATGAAATAAATATGGCCAATCAATCAATCTTTCAGACCATGTATATCATAGACAGAAATATAATACATGAATAGAATTCATACGTGCACATAAACTAATGAACAAATTTGATTAATGAAAAATAACAGTATGTTTATACAACATTTTATGCAAATATATATTGAATTTCTATGTATCTATTGTAAACTAAATTCTAAATTAAATACCAATATCATAGAACAAATCATTTGTATTCTTGATGACATTGTTCCATTCGCTTCAATTAAAAAAGAATAATCTCTACTACATGTATTGTCTCTTGCTTCTCAAGAACACTTGGAGAAAGTATGTATCGGAACACTAGGCTTCGGTAGCTACCTTATAGATGCATCTTTACGTGACGGTGATGAATTACAAGAAGAGCCTTGATCAATTGCGTCATTGACTCATCATACATACTGCTCTTTGCGGGCACTTCTTTAAGGATTTAAGTTTCTTAAGTATGTTTGATTTGTGACTACAAATCAAGGGCTTTGTAATACTCTTTTGAATTTTTGTTAGAATTTTTTAAGTAGGATTTTTTTGGGTATTTGGAATTTGTGTTGAAGAAATCAAGGGTTTGGCAATGTGTTTGGAATTGTTAAAGAAAGATTTGGGTAATTTGACGATTTTTGTAAATCGAATATATCTTCCGGGTTCATTCTTTGAGGGATAAACTATAGTAAATTTGGCCAACTTCATTGAACTCATGATTGTAGCTAGAAAATATTTGGATATAACGATCAAGAAAGAAAGGAAAAGTAATTAGGATAGTGGAGAAAATTAAATGATCACATGTAAGAAGAGGAGAGTGTAATACATTATTTATAAGAAGATTTAGGTTACTTGGGGTTGGGGCCAGTGTGGAATTTATTAGATGACAAATAAATAAATCTAGAAAGATCTAATAGTTTAGATATTATTAACTGCTTAATAGCTAACTATATCGGTGGTAATAGTTTACATATTAATTGAGTAATTAAATAAAGGAGAAGATCATCACACATTTATCATCACACGGTTCACTTACATCCTTCTCAATCTAATTGTGACACATTCTGTTATGACATGGACCATGCTAGGGCTGATACTATATTATACATTCTTCTAATTACAATAGTTTAAGGTCTCACTTTTTCTCTAAATAATTTCATGTACGCAATTCGTCGTTTTTTATTAAAATATAATATACTTTTCTATTAAAATAATCTTATAATATACTCCTTTTATTGTTTTTTATTATTATATTGTAACAGTTTGATTGGACATACTTATTTACACAAACTAGCCTTTTGACCCGTATAATGCACAGTTTGTTTATAGGTATATAATATAAATTTTTAATTTATAATATATTTTTATTGGAAAATGAGTACTTTATGAAGAAGAAGAAGGGTGATGATTGAATGTAATTGTAGAAGGTATTAAGTTGGGGGAAAATGAACCAAATAGCATTCATACATGTAATGAATTAAAGCTAGTTTTTTTTTTTTAATTTTTTTTTAATTATGAGAAAGGGGATTAAAAAAAAAAGTTAAATGAGGTGACATGTGGCATTGGTGAAAAATAAAGTTTACATGTGGCATGATATGCATGATGGTTTGTGTTTTTAAATACTAAGTATAGATATAAATTAGATTTGACTATTAATATATTTTATTTAATATTAGTATAATTGTATAAATGATAAAATGTTGATATTATATGTCATTTAAAACTGATGGTTTTGAGTAATTATTTAAAACAAACATCTTATGGTTGATTATTGCATGTGCGATAATAACGCATAGAATTTATAGCTGCACAGAATAGTATGACTCACACCCAATAATAATGTTGAACTCCCCTACTTTGATCAATAATAATACTACTACTAGTCCCTTTTATTATGTGGACAATAAATTGAGCTACCTTATTGATGATTTAAACCCAAATTCAATTTCATACAAGATGATCATTATATACACATACATAACATGTTATAATTACTCTACTTCTTACTATCACTTGCCTTCTCCTTAGTTTTGATTTACAACAAAATCGACAATTTTGTCAGCAACCATGGCCTCAATTCATCCAACAATCCTTCTTAAATTAGCTAATAATAGCTCCATTATGACCGAGCAATCGAGCATTCCTCCATATATTGGTAATTGATCATAACAAGGATGATGAAACATTTAAGGAATTAAGGGTGATGAAGTTAGTGGAATATTAGAAGATAGTGAAGGGAATCATATCATAAGCTTGCTAGCTATCGTAAAAAATTTAGTCACGACGGGTTGATAAAGAAAAAGAGATCTTCCTACAAATATTGGCATAGCAAAAGTTAGGGCGGTTTATGGGTTAAGTCATTAAATAAAATGTTGATGTTGTGAAAATTTATACTGGATTGCTATTCGTCGCTCCCTTTTTACCGGTCGTCGTTCTCAATCTTGTGTGAAATGACCATTTTACCCTTTGTTTATTTTGTGCTATTTAATGGTCCACCGACTAGTCATAACGAATCACGATCATCTTGAAAACATTATCGAGCGGTTTAAGTCAAAGTTTCCTTTTCAAAATCCCGAGTCCCAAAATTCCCGAGCAAGGGCTAGACAAATCGGTTTTTTTTTTCCCAAAATTTTTCTGGAGCTGAATTCACGGGCTTAAGATGTGGAATGACGGCAACTATCGCACACCGGAGGCATCGTCGGAAGATTCTGTAAATTTCGTCAATTTTTTTTTGTTTCTGTTTTAAGGACATCCGGATAAAATATCCAGATCCTCCATGGAGCTGAGGATCCGCCTGAAATTTCTGGATCTTCCATGGAGGATCCGGAATTTTCAGGTGGATCCTCCACGGAGGATCCGGATATTTTATTCGGATGTCCCTGAAACCGGATTTTTTTAATTTTTTTTTTTTTTTGTTAATGTTATTGATTATTAGTATTAGTATTATTTTATTATTAGTGTTGCTATTATTATTATGGTTATTATTATTATCATTATGGTTATTATTATTTTGTTTAATTTTGTGTGTGTTATTGGTTATTAGTATTATTATTATTGTTGTTATTATTGTGTTTACTATTATTATTTTTATTATCGTTATGATTAATTGTATTATTATTATGATTAATTTTATTATTGTTTCGATAATTTTTTTTATTATTGTTATGATTATTTATATTATTGTTATTGTTAATGTTATTGATTATTAGTATTAGTATTATTTTATTATTAGTGTTGCTATTATTATGGTTATTATTATTATCATTATGGTTATTATTATTTTTTTAAATTTTGTGTGTGTTATTGGTTATTAGTATTATTATTATTGTTGTTATTATTGTGTTTACTATTATTATTTTTATTATCGTTATGATTAATTGTATTATTATTATGATTAATTTTATTATTGTTTCGATATTTTTTTTATTATTGTTATGATTATTTATAATTATTGTTATTGTTATTGTTAATGTTATTGACTATTAGTATTAGTATTATTTTATTATTAGTGTTGCTATTATTATGGTTATTATTATTATCATTATGGTTATTATTAATTTTTTTAATTATTATCATAACGATAATAAAAATAATAATAATAAACACAATAATAACAACAATAACAATAATACTAATAACCAATAACACACAAAAAATTAAAAAAATTAATAATAACCATAATGATAATAATAATAACCATAATAATAATAGCAACACTAATTGTATTATTATATGATTAATTTTATTATTGTTTCGATAATTTTTTTTATTATTGTTATGATTATTTATATTATTGTTATGATTATTTATATTATTGTTTATATTATTTTTAGTATTGTTATGATTATTGTTAATATTATTTGGATGTATCTCGTTCTTTTGTAAGCCTTATTCTAAACTAACTAATTAATAACAATATATCATCTGAATTCTTGATGATTTTCTTCAATTCGCTTCAATTAAGAAAGAGTAATCTCTATTATATAGTCTCTTCTCAAGAACACTTCGAGGGAAGTTTGAGTTAAAAAAAAAAAAAGATGGTGTATACCAGAAAAGTGTGGGGATTTAAAGAAAAAAATCATGGAAGAAAGCCATAATACTCCATATTCTGTACTCCCAAGAGGGGACAAATTATGCAAGGACTTGAAGAGAGAAGTAGCTGAGTTTGTGAGTAAATGCTTGACTTGTCAAAAGGTCAAGATTGATCATAAGAGACCTATGGGAAAAGTTCAACCTTTGGAAATTCCTAGCTGGAAATGGGATTCTATATCCATGGATTTTGTCACAGGATTGGCTAGAAGCAAAAGTGGCAATGACACTATTTGGGTGATTGTAGATAGACTTACAAAGTCTGCGGTGTTTATTCCAGTAAAGGAAACATAGAAAAAGAAACAATTGGTAAAGGTCACTAGTAGAAAAAATGAAATAGGCACCGCAGTTTTCGCACCAGTTTTTGAAAACCAGTGTTAAAAAAATAGGCGGGATTGGAAAATAGACTTTTCGCACCGGTTCCAACCAAACCGGTGCAAAATTATCTTTTTTGCACCGGTGCAAACAGGTGCGAATTAAAAAAGAAAAAAAAACAGGGAAAGAGATTTTGCACTGGTTCAAACCAAACCGGTGCGAAATAACGTATTAGCATCGGTTCAAACCGGTGCGAAATAAAAAAAAATCGATCTTCTTTCTTTCTTTCCCCCTCCTATTTTCATTATATCTGTTTTCCCTCGTTTTTTCGCTCTTCTCTTCCACCACCTCCGAAGTTTCACCTTTCTCCATTGAAGCGGTTTATGAGCTTTCTCACCTCCATTGAAGCAGCTGCACCTCCTTTTCTCTCCATATCTCTCCTCCATTGAAGCTCGTGCTCTTTATTCTCTATTGAAGTAGATTATGAGCTTTCTCATCTCCATTGAAGCAGCTTCGAGGTAAGATTTTTTTTGTGGTCTTTTTCAACTATCAAATTCCTTCGCAATCTAGGATTTGTCGTTGATTTGCTTTTCAATTTAGTAATTTTAGGGTTCTTCTAATATAGGTTTTGTCATTGAAGCGCGCACGGCTCCACCTCAACCACAACAGCCTTCTTATCACGGTGGCACGACCTCAAATAGTGGACCTGGTGTCTGGTGAGCTTGCCTTTCCGGTTTCCTTTACTTGTTGTGCATTGAGTTATTGCCTTGTTGTGAGCTTGCAAATTTTTTATGGGTATTTCTTGTTTTAGTGGTTGGGCTACGGTGGTATTTGGTGGATGAATTGCAGGTTGTGAGGGAGAAGGGGAGTTTGGTGAGGTGTGGTTGTGTGGTGTGGGTTGGATTGGTTGATTGGTGAATGGTGAAGCAGGGGTTGTTGGTTTTGTTCGATGAGTGTGGCTGCAATAGCCTAGTGGAGCAACTGCTGCGTTGGCGGCAATTGGTGGAGCTGGCAGCATGCTTATGAAATTGGGCATCTAGTATTTGACTCAAATTGGAACCCGAACTCACTTGCCATGAAACCCGAACCCCTACACACAAAACCGAGGAAAGGAATTGAGACAAATAAAATAAAATAAATAATAAAATGAAACTAAATTTGCAAAGCCATAATTTTTTTTTTTAATTTGACAGACATGATAGATTGATAGTTCATAGTTTCTAATTGACAAATGATAGTTCATACTTACTAACTTTTGTTTTTTGTTTTGTTTTTTTATAGATTCATATATGAATTGAAGTACAAGTTTAGCTTGAAGACTACATATTTAGCTCAAGTGGGAAGTTAGAAAGAATACATCCATTATACTTGCTATATTGGTATGAATTATAAACTTCTCTAAGCTATATTTCTTTCTCTTTATTCATTTAATAAAAGTTTTTTCATGCTATTACAACTTGTGTATTAGGAGAAAGTCTTGAATAGTCCCCGGTTGGGACTGTTCTTGAACGTTTACTCTCACTTAGGTGGTGAATGTATGTCTTTTTTTTCGATTTTAAGGAACATCTTGGCTTACCATTTCCTCTCCCTGTTCTCTGGGTACATATGTGGGTAAGTAATTACCTACATCGTGTACTTGGAGAAATGGGGGGATATGCTGCCAGATTTTCCTTAAAATTGGAAAGTCGACATACATTCACTAGTGAGATTACACGTTCAAGGATGGGTTAGGTTGGAGTAATAAAGACCCTTTGGAAGCATATATGAATTTTTTATCTATATAAATGTTATATGCATGGTGTGTGTTTGAATTTGATTTACATATATAATATATGTAGCAATTATACATTATTCGTAATATGTTGCTATGGTTAGAGACAATTTACTTAATGGATGGAGAAGGATCGTGGTTGGATGTATGGTAGACGTGATACATCGGAATTCTTTGATGGGGTTCAAGAGTTTTGCGAGAGGGCTTCATCTTATCAATGCAGAATGGGTGTCGATTGCCTCTATCGTCCTTGTGTTGATTGTAATAATGTGAAGGTGGTCAATAGTGTTGAAATCACTAGATGTCATGTAATTTGTCGTGGGTTTAGGCTTAAATACCATGTGTAGATTTGGCACGGTGAAGAAGGAGAGTACAGTGGGGATGTTGATGGGAATGATGTGCATGATAGAAGCAATGAGATTCGTGTGGATGAGGAATGTAGGAATGATGAATATATTATTGATAATGGTGATGAGGATGGATTTGAGGATGATCAGGTGGATGAGGTCGAGGATGAAGGGGTGGATGAGATGATGTGTGGTGTTGAAGGTGACGTGTTTGAGTCATTATCGGAGGCTTCTAAAAAGCCTTTGTATCCTCAATGCAAAAAAATACTATAACTATCAGTTGTGCTAATACTTTTTAACATTAAGTCGAAGCATGGGTGGACGGACAATAGTTTTACTTCTTTGTTGACCGCGTTAAGTGAGATGTTGCCTGACGGGAATGAAATTCCTAAGTCTTACTATTATGAAAAGAAGTTCGTGTGTCCATTTGGTTTGGAGTATGAGAAGATACATGAATGTCCTAATGATTGTATTCTTTATCGAAATGAATATGAACAATTGGAGGAGTGTCCACGATGCAAGAAGTCGCGCTACAAGCGCATGAGTTGCAATGCTGGTATGAAGGGACCTCATGCTAAGGTGTTGTGGTATCTTCCCATTATTCCAAGGTTTAAGCGTCTATTCTCAACACCAAAACACGCTAAAAAATTGAGGTGGCATGCAGAGGGAAGAAAGAAAAACAGAATGCTGAAGCATCCAGCCGACTCCCCGCAATGGAAGAACATTGATATGAAGTTTTGGGAATTTGGTGATGAAGTCAGAAATTTAAGGCTATGGTTGTGCACTGATGGGATGAATCCATTTGGCACTCTTAATACCCAACACAGTACATGGCCGGTACTTTTAGTGATCTACAATTTGCCTCTTTGGTTGTGCATGAAACATAATTATGTAATGTCTTCTCTACTAATAATGGGGTCAAGGCAACCTAGAAACGACATGATGTTTATCTTGCACCACTTGTTGACGATTTGAGAAAGATGTGGGACAAAGGGGTTTCCGTTTTTGATGCTCATAAGAATGAGATGTTTACATTGCGTGCAGCTCTTAATGTGGACCGTTAATGATTTTCCTGCATATGACAACTTGTCTGGGTACAAGAACAAAGGAAAAAAAGCATGCCCCATATGTATTGATGACACACCAAGCATGCGCCTTGATCATTCTCACAAAGAGGTGTACGTGCGGGCCCGAAGGTTTCTCAGGCGCGATCACCCGTACAGTAGGCAGAAAAAGGCTTTCGATGGGACATCGGAAGAGGGGACTACGCTTAGGCCATTGACTGGTGAGGAAATTTATGCTCGAGTTAAGGGTATATGAACAATATTTGGGAAAACAGAAAAAGATGCGGACTCAACTGCTCTCTTTTAAAAAGAATCAATCTTTTGGAAGCTTTTGTACTGGAAAGAACATGACGTTAGGCACTGTCTTGATGTAATGCATATAGAGAAGAATGTGTGTGATGCTCTTGTGGGAACATTGATGAATATTTAAGGCAAAAAAAAAGGACAAAAAGGGTGCACGGTTAGATTTGAAAAAGATGGGGGTTCGTCCAGAATTGTGGGCTCAAGAAAAGGTTAGAAAGGGAAAGGAATAGGAAAAGGAAAATGAAATGAGTTAGAAAAAAGAAAAGGGAAAGGCCACGCATGCGTCGAAGAAGAAACATGAGGGAAAAGCCAAGGATGACAAGGCTTATTTACACCCGGCTTGCTACACATTGTCAAGGGTAGAAAAATGGATGTTTTTTGCATGTCTGTACGGCATTAAGGTTCCATCAGGGTACACATCTAACATGAAAAGATTTGTATCCTTAAATAGAGAATTGAAGCCGACAAGTATGAAATCCCATGATTGTCATGTTATGATGCAAGTATTCCTACCAATTGCAATACGTGGTATTTTACCGAAGCACGTGAGGGATGTTCGTTTTTCAATACAATATGCAGCAAAGTGCTTGATCCTTGTACGCTTGATGCTTTGCAAGCAAATGTGGTTGTGACTTTGTGCAAATTTGAGATGCACTTCCCGCCCTCACTTTTTGACATAATGGTGTATCTGATTCTTCATTTGGTGCGTGAGATTAAGTTGTGTGGTCCAGTGTTCATGAGGTGGTGCTATCCTTTCGAAAGACACATGTGTACATTGCAAAATAAAGTAAGGAATCGGGCTCACCCGGAAGGAAGTATGATTCAAGGGACCGTGGGTGAGGAGATCGGTAATTTTGTGGCTGACTATATAGCCGTAGCTGAACCTATTGGTATTCCTACTTCTCGACATGAAGGGAGACTTGATGGTCATGGCAAAATCGGGTCGAAACGAATGTCACCTGGCCGAGATAAGTTCTTACAAGCACACCTATATGTGTTGCACCATGTTGCAGATGTTTACCCATATTTAGACGAGCACATGGCTAGTTTGCGTGATGAATTTCCATCGAAAGGTGAAAGGGCATTGATGTTGTTTCATAATAAGAGGTTTGTGAGTTGGTTTCGTAATCGAGTGATGGGTAGAATGGATGAGAGTATCACTGATACAGTAAGGTGGCTTGCTTATGGTCCTAGGGATGATGTTCGCTCATTTGAGAGATATGACATAAATGGGTACACTTTTTGGACTGAGCGTCAGGATTTGAAATCTTCCTCGACCTAAAACAGTGGTGTAATGCTTGTGGCATCGTCAAGGGAGTTTGCAAGTGCTAAGGACAAATCACCCGTTGATGCAGAGTTGTCATACTATGGTCGAATTCAAGAAATATGGGAGCTTGATTATTGTAACTTCACGGTTGCTCTTTTCCAGTGTAAGTGGGTTGATAATGTCAGGCGTAACGTAAAATTTGATGACTGAATGATAGTGCGGAACCATTCATCCTTGCATCTCAAGCTAAGCAAGTATTTTACGTAACTGACCCAGTCGATTCAAAATGGTCTATTGTGCTAGCCGGCAAAAGAAGAATCCTAGGCATTGGAGATGTCGAGGATGAGGAAGAATATGATGCGTTTGATGACTCGGCACCTTTCACTGTTCCTAGACATGTTGTACCAAATGACATAAACGACCAAGCCAATTATATGCGATCAGACCACAACTAAGGAATATTAGATTGAGGTACTATTTTTTGTTATTTTCAAATTGCAGGCATTGAAAGTATTATAAAATCACAGGTTAGGTGAAAATGAATGAAAGTGTTAACTTATTTGCCCATTTTTCACATTTTCTTTTAAATGAATGAAGTAACTTTTAAAATATGTGAAATATGGAATAAAAATGATCTACACTTACCCATTTTCTATGTTGATTTGTATTTTAATTTCATAATTTATATTTGATTATAATTTTACCTTACGAATTTATTTATATTACAACTAATAACGTGTTATGTTTGTAATGGCAGGTGTTTATATCTCATGGCGGACGATCAGGAGCGTAACTGTGGGATATAATGGATGATGATGATGATTTCTATGAGGATGAGGACGAGCTGTATGATTTGAACAAGGAGACTGATTTGGGTGAGGCAGAAGATCAGGCTCAGGATGAGTTGGAGCGTAGGCTTGATGAATTTGAAATTTCAGCTGAACAAGCGTCTCCTATTGAAAATGTAGTTTCTGAGACGGTTGATGAGAATCCTACTTCCCACACTCAAAGCCAAGGACAAGGTGGAGGGGAGGTGAAGGCACTGGCTAAGAAAAAGGTGAGGGGTCCGACGACAAGTTTCAAGAAACCCGTTGGTCCATGGTCCTGGAGTATGACAAGGTAGGCCAACCTACGGGAAAATGGCGTCGTCAATATGCTGTTAACGTAGGCATTTGTGCGCGCAAAATCCCCATTACACTTGGTTGGCGGCAAGTATCTCCAGGCTTGATTCAAACATTTTGGAATGATACAAGGGCAAGTGTTTTGTTTGCACATTTACACAATTATAAATACCTTCACTTTATTGTTATTGAAAAGGGGAAACTAATAATCGCTTTTATTTATGTTTGCAGAGTCTGTTTAATATTCCTAATGATGCCGCCAAGCGAAGGGTGTTTGAATCTTTACTAGCGGAAAGATTTAGAGGCTTCAAGACCACCGTAGTTTGTGGGTGGATCACAAAGACAGTTGTGAGAAAACCAAAGAAGAAGAAAGCTAGCAAGGGAAAGGATAGTGGAGGTGACAATGATGATGAAGTTATCGAGGAAGAGCAACTCCTATGGCAAAAATGGCCATGTGTATCGAAGGATGATTGGGAAGCTTTCGTTATTCAAAAGAGTAAAAAGGAAGTAGTTGTAAGTTTGGGTAAATCTGATGACACTATAATATATTAACTCTTTTTGATGTAATGATATTAACATTTCTAATTATGTAGGAACTGTGGGAGCAAAATTCCAAAAATGCATTGCAGAGGCAATACACCCATCGTATGGGGTGTAAGACATTTGGTGAATGGAGGGAAACGTGGGTCAAGGAGGGAGTATACCCCACTGCACTTCTAAGCTAGGGTCCTCCAAAGAACCCTCTAATTCCACGATCACTACGTTGGTGAGTTGTGTTGGCGATTTCATTTGTTCTCTGCATGCGCGTGACAAGGAAACCGGAAAATGGGTCATCAAGGCTCCGGAAACCAAAAAAATGGCAGATAAACTCGTAAGCAACTATGAACTTTATGAAGCTTTTGCATAAATATCACTTTACAAAAACATTAACTATATTCATGTTGCCTTTTTGTTTTTGCCACAGCTTGAGTACACTGAAGAACTGGTTGAAGGCAAGCTCGTCCCAACTGTAGAAAATGACCCTTTCACCTTGGCTTTGGGAAAGCCCTACCATCCAGGATGGGTATTAGGTGCGGGAGGGAAATTGCTAGGATGGGAAAAGGTGATGGGTCCAGAATATACCAAATCAGGAAGATCTCGAGCAATTGTGAACTCACCACATGACTTGGATGCCACGGTGGCATCAATTAAGGAACAAGTGCGCAACAAGATCGTAAGTGAATTCAATGCTTGGGAGAAGCAAATGAACTTACCAAGCTTGCCGTTCCCCTCGACTACACCGGTCGACTCATGTAGTCACCCACAAGGACAAGGAGAAGATGAGATACATGGAGACGATGAGATACATGAGGTAGTTTCAAATCTATTAGTTTTGCAATATTGAGTTATGTGGGATCTAAGGTGGAATTATTAATTTACTGTTGCAGGTTAGTACTCCTACACATGCGGACTCGAGGGAGCCTGATAATCCAACACCTCATGAATTTCTAGATTTACAGGTGATTTTGTTTAGTTCTAGCATAGTGAATATGGGTACATTATCAATTGTGTAGGAAAAGACTCCTTGTGATATGTTTAGTTCTTATAAGTGATCTTTCAAATTGGTGTAAGAAGAGACCCGTTGTGCACTTCTACACCCGGGGCTATCAAACAGTGGAGCTTTCATTTGGTGGCGTATGCTAGTGCACAACCGACCGAACAAGGTACGGTCCATTTGCGACTGCTTAGGCCACAATATTACTCGGTCGGGATCAATTATGGGATTACGGGGTTCGAGGACATCCTAGTACCGGTGCCCGTAGAAGAGGATGGGATTACTACACTCTGGGAAGCAAAAGGTAGATTTGTGCAATGGCCATGTGCTTGGGTAAGGTTGATCAACGAGGTAAGATTTTGGGTTCACTCTTTACTCTATGACCGATTGTCTTCCCAAAAGTTGGATGGATTTATTTTCTAACAAATTGTGTGATTTGTTTTATCGGATTTCGAAGAAAAGCCAAACTTCAAAGAGAAGGAGGGTGGAGCAGCCTAAAAGAATTGATCAACCGGTGCCAAAGAAGAGGAGTGAACAACGGTCGGAGAATGAAAAAGCGTCGAAGAAGAACTCTTCGAGAGGTTCAGCTATGCAAGCTACTCCACTTGTTGCAGACACGGTCCTTCAATCGCTCTCTAAAGATTTAACTTTTCTACACGGCCGTGTTAGTATGTTGCCTAGTGACACTCCCATTGAAGTTGCACTACCTAAGGCATTGTTCCACTATGATGAGGATGCAGTTGCATGGCTCAGCAAAGAAGATGTGAAGAAATTTCTAAGTGGTTCAATGTTTAACATTTCCTTCATTCAAACATTCATGAGGTAATTCAATGCCGCTTAAATTATGCTATTCAGATTAGTGGTGATTGTCGTTTATTTTTCCATTAATATTCTATTATCATGCATGCAGAGCACTACAGGAGCACTTACGTGAGATTGATTTTCTGTGTCAAGTTGGGTGGTTATGCCTTGAGTAGACCTCCACTACTAGAATCTTAGGCAACCATCCTGACGTGTTGTACTATGTCGAACGGAGTATCAAGGAATCAGTGCGTGCGGGAGACAAGTTCATATTCTCCCCATGTTATGAGGAGTACGTCTAACCATGTCAAATTAATTTGTTTCCCCTGATTATATGTTGTACATGGATAATTATTGATTTGTTTGTCTATTGTGAATTTATGTAGTTTGCATTGGACCCTGTTGGTGATTTGTGTTTCTAGTAACACAATCATCCTTTTTGATTCAGCTCGATTGCCTTATCCAAAAAAGCTCCTCGTGAAGTCCATACTGCAAAAGTAAATAAAGCTACCTAATGTTGATTATCATTACCTAACTCATTTATTAGTCATACTAATCAAATTTGAACTTACTTTTCTATAGTGTTATGAAGAAGATAAATTGTCGAGCTCCTCATGGTCCCACATGGAAATCACCGATGGTAATGCCACATGATATTGTGATTTTCGTAATAAACAATGCGTAAGATGTTGCTAATTTTCTATGCATGTTTGATTCATGTACTTTGTTCCTATGCTAGTGCGCACAACAAGATAACGGGGTTGATTGTGGCCTATACGTGATGAGATTCATGTTTGACACAGTGAGTCGTTGTACAGACATACTACATCTTGATGAGGTACGCCATTGACTTAGTTAATTTTCTCTTCTCATGTGATTTGACAAGAAATGTAGGAAATAAGCATCCTAGAAGTCATGTAGGCCTTATTTCGGCCATTTTGGATGAAAATGCGTCCTAAAACCCTTGAATTGCACTTTTTCATGTGATTTCAAGCCTTAGCTGCCTATAACTAAGTAATAATGACATGTTATGAGTAAGAATGTGTTGATTTGATAAGAAATGTAGGAAATAGGCATCCTAGTAGTCATATAGGCCTTATTTGGGTCATTTTGGATCAAAATTCGTCCTAAAACATTTGAATTGCTCTTTTCATGTGATTTCAAGCCTTAGCCGCCAATAACTAAGTAATAATGACATGTTATGAGTAAGAATGAGTTGATTTGATAAGAAATGTAGGAAATAGGCGAAGTAGTAGTCATATAGGCCTTATTTGGGCCATTTTGGATGAAAATGTGCCTAAAACCTTTGAATTGCTCTATTAATGTGATTTCAAGCCTTAGCCGCCTATAACTAAGTAATATTGACATGTTATGAGAAAGAATGAGTTGATTTGATAAGAATTGTAGAAAATAGGCAAAGTAGTAGTCATATAGGCCTAAGTAATAAATTTTTGCCTAACTGAACTTGTAAATGTATTTTTACATGCATAACCTAAGTAATTAATTCTAACATAATTTTTATTTATTCCAAGTTTTGCAAGGTACAAAAGGGAGGTACGTTGACAAGAAAGGAACTTAATGAAGTTCGAGACATGTTGGCGTCTTTCATCACATTTAATTTGTAAATGTCATTTATATTTGAATTTGTATTTTTGTTAACTTTTTAATTGCATTATTAACTAGTATTGTTTGTAAATATGACACTTTTTCTTTTTTTGAGGAATTGTAAATATGACACTTCGTTGTATTGCATTTGGGATTATTAATTAATATCTATGTATTGTTGTTATTCTTTCAATTTAGAAATTATTATTATTATTTTTAATATTATAATAATAATAATTATTATTATTATTATTGTCATTATAATGTATGATAATGGTAGAATTAATGCAGGACGTACAGGTTTTTTTTTTTAATTATTATTAGTATTAATATTATTATTTATTGCCAAAAAAAAAACACAGTTATTAGCACTGGTTAACCGGTGCCTTTTATATGGAAAAAAAGCGTGCCAAGACTTTTAGCAGCGGTTAACCGGTGCCAAAGAGTGTAATACGCACCGGTTAACCAGTGCAAAATCTATGAAAAGCCACCGGTTTTGAATTGGTGCGAAATGTCTTGGTTTTTGGCATCCCTCAAATCAAGACCGGTTCAAAACCAGTGCTAAATGGGGGTTTTGAACCGATGTTGATTACCATTTTTCGCCTAGTGGGTTTATGTGAAGAATGTAGTTCGACTACATGAAATGCCTAAGGACATCATCTCCAATCGAGATTCAAGGTTCTCCAAATTTTGGCAAAAGGTTCAAGCCAACTTGGGAACAACACTAAAAATGAGTACTGCGTTC